CAGAGATCATTCAAATTAATGTATCCTATATGTTAGATCAAGAGCTCATTTAAATTAATGTATCCTATATATTAGATCAAGAGCTCATTTAAATTATCACCTCTATATTTTAGATCAAGAGCTCATTTAAATTATCACCCCTATATTTTAAATCAAGAGATCATTTCAATTAGTATATCTATATTTTATATGCAGAGATCATTCAAATTAATGTATCCTATATGTTAGATCAAGAGCTCATTTAAATTATCACCCCTATATTTTAGATCAAGAGCTCATTTAAATTATCACCTCTATATTTTAGATCAAGAGCTCATTTAAATTATCATCCCTATATTTTATATGAAGAGATCGTTTAAATTAATGTATCTATATGTTAGATCAAGAGTTCATTTAAATTATCACCCCTATATTTTAAATCGAGAGCTCATTCAAATTAACACACCTGTATTTTATTTCAATACACATTGCCCGTTAAAATCTCACTAATCCTAAACAGACAACTTCAACGACTCGAGTGCTATAATGATCTCTCCCATCGTTTCATTACTCAATGTTTCCCTTGATAAATTAATTATAATTATTCGACGACCTACTGTAGGAAAACCGTCGCGAAAGATCGTATAAAAATGAGAACGTAAAATTAGAAATGAAAAGAAAGGAAGCTCACCCAAGGATCTTGTTCGCAGGACAATGGGACGTCTTTTACTGATTCCGACGTGTCGATCTTCGAGGCATTCGCGATCTTCTGTGGCCTGGGGATCCACAACACGCAGATGTATGAGTCTGCTTGCAAATTGATGGCCAAGCAAAAGGTCGCACTCGAGTGTTTGAGTTATCACGCGACAGCCAGCAACGACGACACCCTCAAGCTGACTTCTGAGCCGATACCGTCCGCGGAAACGTTCAATCTGTACAGCTTCACGTTCATCGACTTCGATCTGACCGACGAGGATACCTGCAGGGCAACCATCCGAATGTTCAAGCAGTGCAATTTGATTCAGAAGTTTCATATACCGTACGAGGTTCTTTGCAGGTGGATACTCAGCGTAAAGAAAAATTACAGGTAAGATATTATCGTTAAGAACCTTCGTTTCTGTGTAATCGATCGACGTAAAAGATGTTTCGATCGTGTAAACATCTGAATGATCTTCGTCGGTATTGAAAATGAATATTAAATATATTCTTAGAAAGTGTCGAGAATCAATAACGTTACTGAAACGAATTTTTATAGTATGATCAATAGAGCTGGATATGATTTAGAAAAAGAACGTTACGAATACACCTAATCCTCGATTTACACGGTATATTGGTTCCTCGAAAATGTCGTGTAGATTGAAATCGTACAATTCGAGTTCACTTAGCGTAAAATATATTAGAAGAAACTACCAATGTCACTCTTCCTGCCTTATGATGATTTTTTTTACATATAAATACACCTTCTTTCATTTCTTTTTCTATCTACCTGTGTTTTGTTTTTAGCTTCCTTCTTACTAAACATTTTTTTAGAATAGTCTGTTCTGTTAATATTCATTTGGTGGTTGTAATATTGCAAAAAAGAATTAATATACCTTTTGCATTTATCTGACCTGACCGTGTCAAAGAGATACGCAAGTGCGTACCAGTCAAAATGACTGGTTTCGATTTTTTTGTTTAGCAGTTATTGATATCTTCGAAGCATTGAGTATTCGAAATGATTTTGAAAATAAATAGTTTCATTTGAGTACTATAATGAATGTCTGAAGAAACAGAAAATAATCTATTGTTACAATTTTTATAGGAATTGCATATTAATCGTATTAAATGCTCGGTAGTTCTAGTGTCAAACCGAAGTCCTGTAATTCGAATGTCGTGTAAATCGAGGGCTAAGTGTATTACTTACAACTAAGAATAATGTCTTACGCATTGCACAATATTTAAGAATTTAAAGAGTAAAACTGTTCTCTATATCTGTATCAATTTCAAAAATTGTATAATCAACTGTGAACCGAACAGGCCAGTGAAGTACCACAATTGGAGGCACGCGCTGAACGTCGCGCAGACGATGTTCGCCATGTTGAAAACCGGGAAGATGGAACAATTCATGACCGATCTAGAGATCCTAGGACTGCTAGTTGCCTGCCTGTGCCACGACCTGGATCACCGAGGAACGAACAACGCGTTCCAAACGAAAACCGAGTCTCCACTGGCGATTCTCTATTCTACCAGCACCATGGAGCATCATCACTTCGATCAGTGCGTGATGATTCTCAACTCGGACAGTAATAACATCTTCCAAAACCTGTCCATGGAGGACTACAGGAGAGTGATGAGGGTGGTGGAAAGCGCAATTCTGTCTACAGACCTAGCAGTGTACTTTAAGAAGAAGAATCGTTTCATGGAGCTGATAGACGACGGGGAATTCGACTGGCAGAGCGAGGAGAAGAAAGAACGTAAGTTTAAATTTTCACTGACCGCAGTAATTCCACTCTGAAGCTTCACAGTTTTAGCGTGCACAGATCTGCATGATACATAACCAACGATTGTACTCGAAAACACGGTACTTCGTCCCAAAAATGAAATTCCTCGAAGGAAACTAAATATTAAATTCCCATTCATCATGAAAAACGAACAATCTACCGAACATACAAATCTTAAAATAGTCATCCAACCAAGATGACTCTTTGCACTCGAACGTTCATCGCTAGAAACGTTCTCACATTTTCTGATGAGATAAGATGATATTTTGTGAATCTAACTCTATCACACGTACATCGAGGCGTGAAGTTATTATTTCAATATTCCTCAAACGCGTTATACAAAGTGTAATGTTGAATATCAAGTTTCACAGTCGCACTATACGAGATCAAGTGGCGAGTGAGAGTCGCCTCTCGAGTGCAAAGGGTTGAAATCCTCCGAAAACTCTGTCCACAGTGCTGTGCGGAATGATGATGACCGCCTGCGACGTGAGCGCGATAGCGAAGCCCTGGGAGGTTCAGCACCGAGTCGCCAAGCTGGTAGCCGACGAGTTCTTCGACCAGGGCGACCTGGAACGCCTGCAGCTGAACCAGCAACCGGTAGCGATGATGGACCGCGAGAGACGAGACGAGCTGCCGCAGATGCAAGTCGGTTTCATCGACGTGATCTGCCTGCCGCTGTACAAAGTCATGTCGGACACGTTCCCGTGGATCATGCCGCTCTACGACGGCACCATGGAGAACAGGAGACACTGGCAGGACCTGGCAGAGAAGGTCGAGATGGGCCTGACCTGGATCGACCGCGACACGATCGACGAGCCCGTCGAAGAGTTCGTGTCGTACGAGCCGAAGGACATCGAGTTCACGGTGACCACTTTGAACTGCGCGCACGCGGACAGGAAGGACGTCCCGGAGAAATCGTCGCTGGGCAGATTCGCATCCCTGAGGAAGGGCGGTCGGACGTTGAGCAAAGGGGTGAGACACCGCATCAGCAGGTCCCTGTACGCCGGCAACACGCCGGAAGACACCGCGAAGACGAAAGCGCTGATCCCTGAACGGAAAAGCCGCAACAAGCTGTGCTTGCTCATTTGACGACTGACGTCGACTACGTTGGAGGGTCTGTGAATGGAACCAGGTCGATCGTACGATCAGGAAGGTCAATTCTTTCCCGCCCGCGGGCGGACGAATAGAACGCTTGTAGCGTAAAGGTATCGTGAATCATTGTCGACGACCGGCGGCGGCAGAGGCTGTCGGGGAATCTTTCGAATAGGCGAATCCTGACGGATAGATGTTCGGTTACACGAAAGGGGTCGGAGGTTAGGGTATCGCGGATAACGAGGGATGCTTGAGAGATGAAGTTTAGAGTGCTGACAGTTTAGAGTTTAGCTGGCGGCTAGGTACCTACGTAGCTGAACGGGGGTTGGCGAGCTGCGGTGATCGTTGCTGAGCACGACGTCGCGAACGGTGGGCCGAGGATTCGATTTTGACAATCTTTTTTGTATCGCGTCTCGATAAATCTTAGGGTAGATCTCTCGATGGACGGGGTGGAGACTGGCGAACGGTTGTTGCGTTGTTCCGTGCACGGGGGACATTTTTATATATTACAAGGGTGCGGGGCGAAGGAGGATGAACACGTTCACGTTTCCGGGTGTTGATAAGTGAGTTTGAATTAATCATCTCGTTAATCACTTGGCTTGGAATGACTTCTCTTGTATTCGTGGAAATCTCGAGCTGAAAGCTCTGGTTTTCACTAATGAGCACTACTTGACTATAACACGGTGTAGACTTGTTACTTTATTGGAGATCCTTTTCAAGTGATTATTTCAGGTTGAACTAAATGCCTGAGAATGTCGTATTCAATTAACGGTGGTAATGATACGTCGCGAAAATGGAGTAACCTTTGCGATCACACGCAAATTGTAAAGGCAACGGGTTAAACAGACGCACATCATTCGCACGGTTTTCGGTTTTCAATTCCAATTCAAGTGGTTACGTCACGACCCAAACCGAAGTGAGAAACGTAAACGCGATTTCGCGTTCCGACTTTTATACGATCGAGTCCTGTGCGCGCGCGCGTACCGAAGTGCTCGAGGATAGTCACGGACTCTTCGTGTTGACCCGTCGTTCTTGTATTTCATTAGACTCTGTTTCACCTCGTCGGCCAAGGGAGACGTCGACGGAGAGGAAAACGGTCGCGCCGATTGGACAAGCTCTTTATCTGGGAATTATCGATGTCCCGATTGATGGTGACGTTCGCGAGAATATATACAGTGCCGGGCGAACGACATTTAACGCTGGAACTGTCGGACGAGCCGGATGACCCATTTCAAATTTTTCGTTCCGTCGATTCTGAGTACATTCAGATTTATTATCTCGTAAATTTAGGATGTGATCAGATTTGATATTTCGTAAATTTCGGATATGATCAGATTTGATATTTCGTAAATTTAGGATACGAGCTGATTTGATGTTTCGTAAATTTAGGATACGATCAGATTCCTTATTTTACTCCAAAGATTTTGCCAGATACTTATTTTAGCACATACAAAAATATATGTTCTATTTATCTTTAACGATTTTAACAGGAATTGTTAAGTTCAAGTGCCTTGCCCGTGAAAACTGAGATCGAACGAGATGAAAAATGATTTTTGGAATCTAATTAAAAATATCTTTGTTAGTTCTTACGAGTGATCAAAGACGAGTCGTTTTTAGCGTTCCAAGTTTCCAGTGTTGGAAACGTTCCCGGTTCGTTCGATATTCTTCAACGCTCGCGAAGACGAATTTCCGAAATTTGTCGCGTGCTCTATGCCGGTCGTAATAGACGATTCATTCGAAAATTTGTTAGGTTTATAGGAAACACCCTAGAGAGACTGAATAAGGGATACGAAATGGTAACGTCGACTACCCGAATTTTTACTACTGAGATAACATTGTAATGAACCTTTGTTTCCTCGGAATTCACTGGTAATGTAATTGTACAGTCATCATTTGGATCGTTACGCTGTTAAGTAAATTGTTGTTACGTCTCTATCGCACCGAAATGTATAAAGAAGTTACGCAAAAGAAGAGAATAAAGATTAAGAAGATTGAATTGAGAAAGAAAAACGAAGAAAGGAAAGGGACGAGCCAGGCTCACAAGGGAATCCTTCCAATCAGCAGTTTTGTGAAACAGTTCTCAAAAAAATATTTAACTCATATTTCTTCTTATCGGTCAACATTCACTTCGAAGGGATGAAAACACACCTCAATCTTGAGGACTGAAAATATATTTTTTCAATATCTCTGAAACTACGGAGTGTACAAAAGAAATCTAAATTGTTCATTCTGAGGCGAACAATTTCAAAAATTGTTTTCCTGCATCCTCCAGCTTCAGAGATGTAAAAAATATACTTTCAACTCTGAACTTTGACGGGTGTTGTCGCCCGATGAGTAAAAATGTGAGTCAAATATTTTTTTGATGAACCATGTTTCACAGATTCATCAGAAATCAGCTGGTCGAAAAGATTCTCTTGTTAGTTCGACAGCTGCTGTTGGGTCTAACCTGTGCGATTACGTTTGCAGACTTGTAAATATTTCAGAGTCTACCGTTTCTTCCTTTTTCTCGCGTAATTTAATGGTTCCAATCACCGGCGACCGCTTCCTCCACCAAAGTCTCAAGAATACTCGCGGTATTCTCAATTCCCCTGTGAAACGTTAAGCCCATGAACGTACAACGTGCAACGACAAAATGGCGAACACGCGTGGCAATGGCGTCATCTTAGAAAGATGAGACATGTTCGCGACGAATACTGGTCAATTACCTCTCGGATCGATGACGAGGGGATCACACGCGCGGGAGCGGAGATCTCGATCTCCCGGATCTAAGAAATAAAATAAAACTTTGTTTTACAAAACGAGTGAGACGGAATCGATTATTTCGCGGGAATTTCCATCGACGAACGGAGTTCGCGGAGTCCTCGCGACGAATTCGACGATACTGAACGGAGGCCGAGGGAAGTCGTTCGTCCGATAACTGTGTCTAAACATCTCTGCGAAGAAGAATCACGCGCGAGAAACAGAAGTGCGCGGGATTGAGGTTTCAAGCGAACACGAGAATTCAGTGCAACGAGCGAGACTGGTGTCTCTAGTATTTTAATATAGCCGCGAATGGGCGAGCATGCCTGTCGAGAAGATTATTTGCGCACGATTAAATAAAGATCTGAATGTGCTCGAAACATCACTTTTCTCTTACCCTCTTGATCTCTCGCTTTTCTTCTCTTCCACTCTTGATCGCTCGATTCTCTTCCTCTTCCAATCACTCGCTTCTTTCTCTCTTCTCTCTGGATCATTCGCTGCTTCACTCTTTCTCGCTCGATCACTAACTCTTTCTCACTCGATCACTAACTCTTTCTCTGTCGATCACTTATTATTCTTCTGTTATCCTTTTTCCCCCGATAACTAGCATCCTTCTCTTTCTCTCTCTCAGTCGCTCGTTTCTTCTTTTGATCACTCATTCTTCTCTGTCTCACTCGCTCGTTTCCTCTCTTTCCAACCATTCTCCTTTCTTCTTTCTCTCTCGATCACTCGGTTTTTCCTCGCTTATTCTCTCTCAATCGCTCGATTCTTCCGTAGAACTCTTTCTCTCTTAATCGCACAATTTTTTCCTCTCTTCCCCTCTCGCTCGCACAGTCACTCGATCTCTCTTTCTCATCCTCCACTCGTATCTCTTTATCTGAATCTCTCGATCACTCGCAATCTCTCGCAACAATGCTCGCACTCCTCCCACTCTGACGAACGTACCCTTCGCAGTTGACTGATCTCGGTGGCTTTTGACGCAGTTTTTATTAATAAAACATTTAGAAATTACACTCGAACGACGGTGTCCCTTTACACGCTAACGAATCAGCAAACATTTTGGTCCTACGATTAAATTAAGTATAACAAACGGTTCTTCATCGTCGTCATCTTCTTCGTCTTCTCCTTCTTCTTCTTCTTCTTCTTCCCCTTCTTTTTTTCGTACACCGTACATTTGTCGGGAATTAATTCGCTATTTACAACGTTATGCAACGTGTAAGTATGTAAGTGTGTATGTGTATGTCTGTGTGTATGGTGTGAGTGTCCGTGTAACGTTGCATACGAGTAGAACCTGACACGAAGCAACGTTGCGACGCGGCTAAACGTGCCCATACGCCAACAATGGCCAGAAACGTTCCATTGGAACCCACGATATGCATTTCCCCTTGATCTTTTGATCTATGCTCGTGAGCTAGCTCATTTCCGATCCTCTTTTATTCCCTTTCCTTTTAGTTCCTTTCGTTCACTGGTCACACGGAAACAAACGTCGTGGCAGTGACGCGGCTATATTTGGCAAGATTCATTGATCTTTCGATTAACAGTGTTCGAGGCGTACAAACGTACGCGCCGTCACCTCTAAAATCTACACCCGGCCTCGTGGAACGTGTGACGTCCGTCGCGTGATTTTGTATGGAACGACAGCGTCCATTGACTCTATGATAGTATGTGTTCACTGTTCGATAACGGTGTAGCAGTACGTAACAACAGTGTGATAATTGTATGATATTGTTCGATAACTCTATCACGACGTATGACGATTGTATAAAGTGAGTATGACGACGTGGCTACCACACGATAATTGTATAATAGTGTACGATAACTGTATGATAATAATGTGGTGGCATGTGATAATCGTGTGATAATAGTATAATTATGATATCCGTATGAAATTAAAGTATGACGGTGTTCAATGACTGCATCATAACGATACGATGGTGTAGAATAACTGTATAATAAAATTATGATGCGAGTATTGTACGGTAAGAATGTAACGACACGGTAATTGGATGGTAGAAACGATATAAAAACTGCATAATAATATGTAATGAACGTGTTACACTGTATAATACCGAACCGTGGTACTGTTCACTCGCGAGGAGGGTTTCACACGAACATCGGAACACCTCGGACACTGTCAACATCCAAGAATCCAGGCCATGAAAGTTTCACTCGGATACACAATACAATTAATCCCGTCGCAAAGTTACATCGGCCGGCTCCGCAGCTCATTGTGACCAAGGACGAGACCGAACACTTTAGAATCCGCAATGTAAAATGAATCCTTGCTCCTCATAGTGAAACTGTGCGCGGTAGATAAGTATACCTGACGCTCGACACAGAAAAAGGCATAACGATTATCAACGGTGATCCGCCGCGGATTTGAGCGGACAACACGCGACACACCCGCCTACGACAATGCAAATCAATAGTCGCTTTTGAGATCAACGCCGTTCCTTCGAACGAACAGAACCGGAAACGGATTCAACGAATGCCGAGCGACCAGCGTGACGGATAATACACAAGGAGGCTTGAGGGTGCAACCTCGACAGTCGAGTCGCTCGCATGACGGTTCGTACAAAAATATATAAAATAAAAAGATCATCATCATCATCATCATCAGCCACGCATACAGTCACACACGTTCACCGAACGCCCGCGACACCTGGCCTGCTGACGCGTACACCCGTTGGTTATCCTTGATCACAATGCTCGAGTAAAATGAAACCGATTTAATACAATACGTTCTACTAATTACAATCGCCTCTTCTCGTTAATTTCATCGTTCCTCACGTGTCCGTTCGTCAAGAAATTTTGCCTGAGCCAATCCATGGATCCCTTAGCGCAAATACCTTGTGCCAGTTCAATTTTGATCGAATTCCCTGTTCGTCTCCCGGTATGTAAGGTTTGTCGACCACGGCGAGCGGATAATACCCTGGACCTAGGCTCATGAATGAAACGGTTCCGTGTACGTACGTGAAGCGTTCATGGAAGATACGTCGCGGAAGAGGAGAAACTGAATTAGCCTGCGTTCGGAAAACAGAACATACGCTGGATAACGTTCTCGGTACTTGAGATACAGGTGGCGAGTCAAATTTGAGGGCAGGACTGTTCCGGCGGGAACACCGTGGAGCTCAAACTTGGCTCGTAATTCGTGTCGCCTGTTAAATGCAGATGACAAGTTAAGTCTTTAAACGAACGGTAAAAAAAATGACTTGAACCTTATCGGACGCAGTTGCTCTTTGCACGCATAGGTTTTGTTCCATTTTTGTGGAGTCGCTTCGCCTTACGGTGGTTTACAGTTTAGTCTGTACGCGTACAAAATTTAAACTTACACAACGTCATGGTATCGACGGATGCCCGAACGTCGGCCGAGCTCGACGCGCGAACATCGAATACAATTATATTCATCCGGTCAAAACATACATGCAATTAAACCCCGTCGTTGTCTACGGACAAACCTTGTGAGTATGATCCTCCGAGATTCTGGTCTCAAAGTCGAAGCCTTTAAATGAAAGTTCGCTGTGTAACATCTTATCCCGTGTACCATTCAAAGGAGGTAAGCGTCATTCGAGGAATTCCAAACAACATTGCATGTATGTTTACAGTAGAGTTTGCTGAAAATATAATTTTCTCAATATTCACGGATCGTTGCAGAATTCACATTGCACAATTAAGTCAAAGAAGATTCAAACTCAAAGTAGATATGTCCGGTTAACACTCAACGGCTCATATGGGGCTGCAATCCTGGCAAAGTGGCAGAAATGCGCGGATCACATAAAGAACTCCCTGGATCGGCTAATGTGCAGTCACGACGCAGGTCTATCTAGTACCGAAATTTCTATTAGCCTAAGACCACGCAACGTTGGATCTGTTAGTAACAGCCCGCGCGGCTTGTAAACTCTGTCGTTTTGTTCACTAACAAACTTGGCCACCTTTCGCAAACACTTTTCATATTGAGTCTCTGTGCATATGTAAATTAGGTAACCGGTGAGGCAAGCCAAGCAGCCTTCACAGTATGTAGAACAACTGGCCCGTTCTGCTTCAGCAAAGTAGTTGTTCAACTGAGTGACCGTATACTCGAACGATTGTCTGTCCAACTAAAGTAGAAAATATGATAGAGAAAAAAACGTCCTATAAGTTAAATGCACATTGGAAAACACTGTTTCTTAATCTACAAGGAAAAAATTACGTTGACAACGTATGTCCTACATTTCTTGTATTACAGAATGCCTTCTATGTATTGCTATCTTAGTTATCAATGTTAACCTTATCAAAAAATCTTGTGGAAATATATTACATGCAAAAACTACATTAGCTAACCTGAATCTAAACAAACTGTCAATTCAATCACTAGTTCAAACACCAAAAGAAAAACAAATTAATTTCCAACTGTTCAAATAATCTAAATAATGGGAATTAAATTGATTTGATTACGTACTCTGCTTTCTAATTCCACTGGGAAACGTGTCTGAAACTTAACCATAGTACCTTCACTGTAGTCACGTTGTATATAAACCTTTTCACAATTTGGAGGAGACCCCCCACCTCCCTGGCCCCGGCCAGCTGACATATCCTCCAGGGGTGTAAGGGCAACGTGATTGCCCTAAAAAATGAAAAAAAATTCAACAACCTTCTAATTACGATTTTCCTACGATGAACGACCTTCAACCCTATTCAAATCTCTCTTCGCAACAACAACTATTTTACGCTACCATAGAGGCTGAGTGTTAGAATATCTAACCGCAAAACCGCACCCAAATTAGCGTGACCCAAAGCGTACATGTAAAATCGAGACATCGTTGAAGATCAATGAATCACGGCATTCAAGATTTTCCAATTGAAATTCAACGCACAGCGTTCGAAACAATCAAGAAACGGGACTGTTTAGTCGGAAGATTGACAGTGAAAGAAGGGGAAGAAGACAGAACGAAAGATGTACAAACTTACCAATGGCATTTTGAGCTTCGTCTTGACGATTTAGTAGAACAAATTCGTTGAAAATAATTTCGACTTGCTAGTCGATCGCAGGGTAAAACGGTGAAGGATAGAAATGAGAACGATGACGAACGTTCTTTGCAAAATACGGAGTACTGCGACCCGACGGACTGGAGCACGACACCGTCGCCATAAAGCGTGCGCGCGCAATTCGTTGTAATTGAAATATGCGATTCACGATGCCTTTAAGGAATTCAGTTGCTCTAAATAAAAATGCTGTTTACATAATAAAAAAAATAGTATCGTTGTTTCGTAATAATCTACGAGAAAATATACCATCTTTTATCCATTACTTATTTCAATAATCTTTTAAAGTAAAAATATTTGTATAGTTAATACTCATGAACTATCTATTATGTACGGTTTATATTTATTTGCTTTCTAGTTATTTCACTGATAATATAGTAAATGCTGGTATCCATTTTACAAGATAGACCTATAATAAACGCTGGTTATTCAATTCTAAAATTAAGTATTGTCAGAATATTGGACATTCCAAAGTTACTGTCTGCGTTGCGTTACTTTATGTCTAGATTAATTTTTATTTAAATACGCGAATTATTAGAAATTCATGGTTTGCTTTGAATTTTATTATGCATCTCTTTTTACCGCTAATTCATCGATTTGTATTAATTCCAATTGTAAAACGAAGTCTATGGTGAGAAACCGAGCACTCTTACCATTCTGCAGCAAGATTGAGATTCCATTCGCTACTATTTTTACCGTAAATGACGCTTCGGGCATTTTAAATACACTTTTTCTGCGTACAAAGGATTAAATATTAACTAAAAATATTATAATTAATACGTATTCTAAATCTCTTCAGTGGATAATTTTTTTACTGATTACCGTCACGATTAAAGGGGACTACAGTCATTATGTACGTTATATGTAGATTAATTATAAATTTTTGATTTTTAAATCAATAAGACATGAAAACTCAAAAAGTTTTCTGTTTATTCGTACATCTAATCTGTATCACTATGTTGTGTCGCTATCACATGGTGCTTTCTAACGTAAGACCATCTCTTTTGTAAATACATCGTACCTTGTCAGCTGAAACTATGGTCAATGTTTTCGGAAGATGTAATACAATGTGATCATGTTCACAGCAAAGGTTAGAGATAGCAACGAATAATGACAGTTGAAGTTTCTACGATTTTAGGTTATTTTCCTTGATTTCATTACTTTCTCGCAAATGTCGCCTAATATCGTGATCGTGAGTTTATTTGAAGTTGATAGACTACCTCGATATCAATGATTTTCAATGCAAAATATTATACTATAAAACAGAATCGAAGGTGAAATGGACGAAGAAAAGTCAGAACAGTCCTTTAGGGATGAAGTCTCGACAGAAAATGTAGATCAGGTTGATTTCAACGTAAATCAGAATGTTCCACTTTCAAAAGGTATCAGACGAATATTTAAGTAGTAGTGCATATATTTTATAGAAATAAATTGAATCATTTGTTAAGATATTAGTATGTATAAATTTCTAAAAAAAAACTTAATTTTCTTTACTTTCTTTTAAATCTTTTTAGTTGACGATTCTCAAAATCAACAAGACATTGTAATAAACGAGGATGGGGAGCCAATTCAGGAGAAACTCGCTCAAACTGAAACAACCTCAGTATTATTAAACAACAATGATCAAAAAGAATATAATTCTTTGATAGGTGAAAACAGTATTAACTTGACCATTAAAAATTCTACTTCTTTAAGTAATTTATCAGATAACGAACTTTCAAAATGTGAAGTGTTACCTAAGGATGTTGGTGTTCTACAAGAAGAGTCCTTGGTGAAATCATCTTCCTCTAATGATATACCTTTATCTAATTCATTTTCATGTTCACCTACAAATATGCTTTCAAATGATACTGCAACATCTATAATATCAAGTGATTGTGAAGAAGTAAAATCAATATCAAATAATGAAGACGAAACAATTTTTAATACCAAACTATGTATAGACAGCGATCAAACAAAGTCCTGTGAAGAAAATATAATTCAGAATTCTATTATAAATGAAACACTAACGGATAATATTAATAAAACAGAAATTTTGAGAAATGTGAAATATGACAAAGTCTGTAAAAAAGAAGAACAAAAGACATCTCAGCCAATCAAGAATAATAGGTCACAAAGCAATTTAATAGTACGACCTACTTTAGCTGATGATAGCAAGTTGGTTAAAATTTCACTGCCAACGAATCCAATTAACTTAATGCAATCGAATGCTCAGTTCTTGAATAAAAGTCGTAACTTTATACACTTTATTACGGAAAAGTCAACAAACATAATGGAGAAAGCACTATTGCCACAACATTTAACTGTAAAGTACAATTCAGTAATGAAGTCTATAGATAATAATTATAATGAGAAAAAATATATAGAAGAACCTTGTAGCACAAAATCCCCATCAATAGAACCAACAAATGATACCAAACCCAATGTTATAGGAAAGCCAAAAGATATATCAGATTCGTTCTGTAATTCAATGGATGTGGAGAATGCAGGGAAAGAATTTACATTAAATTATGAATCCAAAAATAATTTCGTAAAAAGTCAAAATGACGATGTATGCGTTAACACTGAAAAATGTGATCAATCTACCAATTCTCCAGTTAACGATGATAAACAAATAAAACAGTATTCTGTTAATGGAAAAGGTAATGTAGAATCTGATAATGTAGTTTGCACTGAAGCAAATGGGAATTGCAATGAGTACATTAATTTTGGAGTATTAGATTCTGAGAGTAATATTATTGAATCTGAAAATTCCAATCAGTGTTTGGTGAAACACCCAGCATACTTTACTATATTGAAAGATTATGCAGATCTCAAAACAAAGTACTTGAAGTTACAAGAAAAAACTGAATATTTGGAGGAAAGAAATCGAACATTAGAGACAGAAAATAAGGGAGAGATTCACGCTTCACAGATTGGAACTTTGGAAAAGACAATAAATAGACTTACCTTTGAATTACACACATCGCTGGAGGCACAGGAAACTCTGAAAAAAGAATACAATGCTGCTAATAAAGAAAGGGAGAGTATGGTGATGAAATATGCAGTTAGTGAGAAGCAACTAATTGATACACAAAGGTATATATATACAAATTGATATGTATTGATTTTATTCATTTTTTATTTTTTTGTTTAATATGTAGTTTATATGTTATATTTTTTATTATGTTGTCTTAGAGCAAGAGAATATGCAGAACGCAAAGCAAAAGAAAGTACAAAACAACAAGAACTGCTTCAAAATAAATTGCGGGAAATGCAAGGAGAACGAACAAGAATATGCAATATCTTAGATGGAAAGTGTCGCGAAGTGACTGATCTTCAAAAGGAAGTTGAAAAATTGAAAGAAGATGTAAACATGAGGGACATAAAATTGAAATGGACACAGAACAAACTTAAATCAGAAATGGATACACAGAAGGAAACACAGCAAAAGTTAGATAAGGCTACGGTAATAGTAATAGTAATAGAAATTTATTGTTTGCCTTTCTATACCACCCTCATTTTCTACTATTGTTTGTTACTGTTTTCAAAATAAATTTTCACTGATTACCTATCTCCCTACCTATCTCTCCACTCATTCTTCATACAATCCTGCAACCAAAAGTTCAAGCTACAATAAGAATATTTGAAATTAATATCTCTTTATCCCATAACAATTTACACCATCAATTTTTAGACTAGAATCAATGAGATGAAGGAGGAATGTGATCTAGTACGCAAAGAAACACAAGAAACAATGCGGAAATTTCAAGAGTCAGAGGAAAACAAAGCTGTTACATTGGATCAACAATTGAAAGAACAACAAGCACGTTTAATATTAGAAAGACATGTTACAGAGGATAAAGAAATGTTGAGACTTCAGTTACAGAAGGAAGTGGAAACACTGAAGCACAGACAACAAGTTCTAATCGAAGAAAACAATACGCTTAGTTTAAAAATACAGGATGCTGAGAAGAAACGTTTAAATTGTGAGAGTAATCTAAGTAATCTAAAGATCGTAACAGATCAGCGTCAGAAAGAGATTGTAGAATTGCACAGTAAAGTGTCAGAATTGGAAGCGTTGAAAGTTCAATTGCAACAGTGAGTATCACAATTATGAAATCGTGATGCTGTTCAATATTACCGTTTAATTTTTTTATTCAGCAAGGATCAGTGTTTGCATTCAACCGAAGAAGAAATCAAGCATCTGCAATTGGCCAATGAAGAATTACAAGCTGACATGTCTGCATGTCGCCAAAAGGAATCTGAGATGTTAGACTTTACACAAAAACTAACAGATAAAAATGTACGTCTTCAGTCCGAATTTACGGCCACTGAAGCGAGGATGAAGCAATTGGAAAAGGAACATGGACCGTTGCATGAACGTATTAATTATTTGATGGATAAAATTAAAACTCTGGAGTTGAATCTTGCAAAGGAACAGAAGACAAGGGATGAAGAATGTAAGATCTTAGCTATGCATCTCGCCGAGCAAACACAATTGGCACAAAATCTTGCTCAGGAATTAGAAGATAGTCAAGGAGAGAACGCTGTATTGAAAAGAAAACAGCAATTAAGTATGAAGGAAATGACAAGAGAGCTACAACAGTATAGAAAGAAACTCGAAGCGTATGAATCATCGTCGCCTTATAATTCACTGGGAGCTACATCCAGAGCTGGATCAAATATTTCATTGAATACAGGTCCTTTAAATATAAGCGTCAAAACTAAGATTTTATTCAGAAGAAAGTATTTTTATTTCATAATTTTATTATTGCAGGAGAAACTGTAAACGGTGCCTTATCTGATAACAGTATGAACGGAGATCAGAACGTGCAGATTATGGAGCCTAGCAAACAAACATTGATAGATCGTATTGTAAAATTGCAAGAAGATAACGCTAAGAAAGATGACAAATTAGAGTTTTATGAGGACCATTGTCAACATCTGGTAGAAGAGTTGCAGAAAAAGAGGAAGATCATACAAACTTATATTTTACATGAAAATCCTGGTGCCATGGGTAGCAACGAACGAGATAGATGTAAGGTAAGTGTTCATTGTATGTCATAATGTATTCATTACATCGCTCGTTTTGTATAAAGTGTTTAATTATTACTAATAATACACTTTGCTTCATACATACAAGCATATCAAGAGTAGAAGAAGCGCGGTAAGTATAGTAATAAATTTTAATGTTCTAAATTGTGATAAGTTATATTACCTTAAGACAATTCTATATAAATTAATTATTTTAATTCAATAATTCTGTTGAATCATAGGCAGAATTAGCAAAATACGGAGGAATAATGGCCTCTGTTTACAACCAACGAGTTTCAGACGAAAATATGACTCTGGAGCTATCATTAGAAATAAATCAAAAACTACAAGTATCCCTGGAAGATATATTACTTAAAAATATTCTTCTAAAGGTAAAAATGAGAATAATTATTAATATGAAGAATAATATTAATTCGGAATAATAATGATTAATTAATACTTCATTTTTAGGATAGTATTAATACACTTGGTGAAGAGATAGCTAGGCTAACAATACAAAACCAACAAAGACAAATTATAAACTAAAGATATACATTAATGAGACACTTGTACTTACTGTGTAAAAAGAATGAAGTAACATGTGTGTATATTAAAAATGTAAATACACATGTGTTATTATTTATGAAAATTTGCGGTACAGGAGTACTATCAATTTTAACATTGCGTATTGAATATACAAAAAAACAACTACATTTTCATTTTTTAAAAGATAAGTATTAAATATTTACCTCGAACAGATATGTTAACAGCTGCTTGGATAGTAATATATTTTTTTAAGTTAGAAGTGTCTAAATGGGTAAAGCAAACTTCTACTTATCTGTATGTTACTTATTGACATAAGAGCTAATATTTAATATGTCTCTTATTTTTATTATGTACACTTTGTGGCAAAGTTTTTTGAATAGAATCATTAACACTTTTTATACATTCTTTTACTTTGTTTAGTTAGGTTTAACAATTACTTTCTAATCAGAACATATAATATATATGATGTGAAGACTGTATTTCACTATCAGAAAAAGGAAAATATACATTTATCATATCTAGTCAAAAAGAAGAAGTCAAGAAAAATGAAATACGACCTAGAAATTATATTTAAGAATCATTGGAATCTGTTTATTTATTCTAAGAAATATAAAGTTTTAAAGGAACATTCCATTGATGCATTATAAATTTTCAATAAACAATAAGAACTTCAAATAAGATTTTGTTGGTATCGTATCTCATGTATATACAACCTACATTAATGCATAAGTGTCAAGGCAAAATGTACCACTTACAAAGTGTGCGTATTATAAATATTCTAAATATTGTAAACCATTGTAAAAATAACAAAAATTTTATGCCAATATATATGTATATACAAAATATTAATTGTTGTATTGTTGTAGTAATATATAGAAATTGTTGTAGCAATGCATAGAAATAT